AAAAGAAGGTATATATTTCAATAAATGGACGTCCAGTCCTAAGATAATCTAAAACTCGTAATCCATATGATCTTTCTAAAAATTCTGGTTTGTTAATCCTTAAATATTCAACTATAAGGTCTAAAATCACAAAATTTATAATGGCTTTAATTGTGTTATTAATTATCTCTTGATTAAGATCCTTAACTTTAATAGAATCAATGTATCTTTGATATTTTGATTCATCAGGAATTGTTACCGCATTAGGACGCCAATTGAATAGAGAAGCGGTGAATGAAGGAATTTTAATTTTTGAATCGATAGAAGATTGAAAATTTTTTTTCAGCCATGTTGTCATCTTGACTGTGTAAAGTATCGCTAATAATGCTATAGTGAAATTCATTATTGACTCATATCTTCCATGATATATTAAGGGAATCAATGCTTGAACAAAGATTATAATACAAAGTACGCAAGTGCGACGTTTGCTAGTTATGGGTTTGAGAGATAAAGAAATAAATGCGAAAAAAGGAACATGGAAAAGTGTTATATAAGCTAATGGACTTAAAGTGGGTGGAAAATCATATGTTCGAGACATTTTTTCACTAGTTACTTCATGAAATATTTTATAAAATTCTTGATGTAAAAATTTACGATCAAACTTGAAAAGTGATATTTATAAAATTTTGATTTACGTATACGTACCATTGTCACTGTAAACAAGCTGTACAATGATATATTTATCATTAACAATGTAAGTTATGTTATTATTGCCTAATGATAGATGATGTATAAATAAATACCTTTACATAATTAGAATGTTCTTTCCAATTTTGTTATTCTTGTAATTTTTTGTAAGCCATCTAGAGCATGCGATGTGCATATATGTGCTATGGTAATATCCGTACGTATTTTTTATACGTCATATGTGCACATATGTACAATATATCAATATATTTGTATGGTATGATAAATGTTAACTTTGGAATATTTTTTCCAAAAATATCTAGCTAGTTATAAATAAAGTTGAAGAAATTAAATTCGAATGTAACTACTTTATTTAGAAGCTATAAAGTAAATTTCAACTTTGTCTCATTATAATCAATTGAAAGTCTTTTTTTTTTAAAAAAAAATATATATATATATTCACTTGCGTACTGCGGCAGATATGTGCATATATTATACACAAAAATTTGACACAATCTTCTTCTGAATTACGTCAACTTTTCTTTATACTGCTATAATAATGGGGATGTTTGGAAAGAAGTTTTCTAAGTCAAACCTTCTTTACTAAGTTTTAATTATGTCTTAAAACACCTTTATATACATGCGTACTATACAAACCTATCTGTTTAAAATTCGGTCACTCAATAAATATTGTTTTTGATTCACATTATGAGAAAGTTGTTTCATATATCAAAAAAGACAAAGGACACTGGCACAGTTAGTGATGTGGCATTTATATGACACCAGTACGTACTGTACGTATAGTTCTTTTTCTGGCATCTGATTGGCTGGAACAAGTGATTGGCAAAATTTGGCGTTTAGTAATTTTAGGTAGCGTACCCACAAAAATTTTTCCCTTCCTGTAATTTTTATCAAGAATAAAACAGTGTTGTAGTTAGGGTTAGGTCAGAGTAACTCAGTGTCTAATAGTAAAATTTCACAAGGAGCATTTTTAATTAGGTCGCAGTAGATGGTTTCTTAATCAAATTTCAGAGTTATTTATGTTTTTTTTGTAAAAAAGTGCCTTCGCTTCGATTGTTTACGTTACACCTGATCTTGAAATTTGATTGGTCAAAAAT